TTGAGAACTGGCTGGATGGCCGAGCTCAGAGGGTTGTGGTCAGTGGTGCAGAGCCTAGTTGGAGGCCTGTAGCTAGTGGTGTCGCCCAGGGGTCAGTGCTGGGTCCAGTGTAGTTCAGCATATTCATCAGTAACCCGGAGGAAGGGACAGAGTGCACCCTCAGCAAGTTTGCTGATGATCCAGAACTAGGAGGAGTATCTGAGACACCGGAGGGCTGTGCTGCCATTCAGAGAGACCTGGACAGGCTGGAGAGCTGGGTGGAGAGGAACCTCCTGAAGTGCAATAAAGGCAAGGGCAGGGTCCTGCACCCAGGGAGGAATAACCCCAGGCACCAGTACAAGCTGGGGGCTGACCTGCTGGAAGGCAGCTCTACAGAAAAGGACCTGGGAGTCCTAGTGGACAACAAGTTAAACATGAGCCAGCAGTGTGCCCTTGTGCCCAACAAGGTATCCTGGGCTGCATCAGGGAGTGTGTTGCCAGCAGGTCGAGGGAGGTGATCCTGTCCCTCTACTCAGCCCTGGTGAGGCCACATCTGGAGTGCTGGGTCCAGTGCTGGGCTCCCCAGTACAAGAGAGACATGGCACTACTGGAGAGAGTCCAGTGGAGGGCTGCTAAGATGATGAGGGGACTGGGGCATCTCTCCTCTGAAGAAAGGCTGAGAGAGCTGGGCCTGTTCAGCCTGGAGAAAAGAAGACTGAGAGGCGATGTGATCAACGTGTACAAGTATTTGAAGGGAGGGTGTCGAGAGGATGGGGCCAGACTCTTCTCCGTGGTGCCCAGCAATAGGACAAGAGGCAGAGGGCACAAACAGAAGCACAGGCAGGTCCATCTGAACATGAGGCAAAACTTCTTTCCTGTGAGGGTGACAGAGCACTGCAGCAGGTTGTCCAGAGAGGTTGTGGAGTCTCCTTCCCAGGAGGTATTCAGCACCCACCTGGACATGATCCTGTGCACTGTGCTCTACAGGTCCCTGGTTGAGCAGGGGGGTTGGACTAGATGATCTCCAGAGGTCCCTTCCAACCTCAGCCACTCTGTGATTCTGTGATTCTGTGATTCTGTGATTGTGTGACTCTGTGATATATTTCCGTGTTTAACAGAAATTTTATAGAAAGTAAAGAAAAGAAGTAAAGAAAGTACCTTTCTTTATCATTATCCTAATATAAATAAGCGCAGTAAACCTACAATATAAATGCCACCTTTTACAAATAATAAACTCGTAAGTACCATCAACTGGAACCAGTGCTCATCATCAGAGCTTTCTCAAGAGCATTTATTTTTTTAATTGCTTTTAAGTTTTTATATGTAAACACAAGTATATGTTAGATAAGAAAGGAAAGGATTTCTTTGCATTGTCAGTACCGAATTTCTGGAATTTGTTGCCACAGGAAGTTTTAGGTGCAGATATATCAGCAAGTTCAAAAAAGGCTATGACAAATTCATAGACAACACGTAAATAAAAAGCTGTTAAAAGGACTACATTGGGAGAAACCCTCAAACATCTTTAATGCAATAACTGTGAAAGTTTGGGACGCAGTGTGAGTGGACCAGGTCACCAACGGTGGGCTGGCTTGTGTGCTCGTCCCATTGCTGCTGTTGGAGGAAGAGCACTGGGGATGGCAGACCGTTGTCCTGACCCATTGCAGCTTTCCTTGTGCTATGTCCTTCTGCAGGTGACTACACAGATTGAACATTATCCATCATACCACAATTTTTATGTTGATAGTATGGAAGATTTTGTAGGATAATCATTTATAACATATGTGCTAAAGGAAATAAAGATTTGAAGCACCAGAATGGTCATGACATAAAGAATGGTTATTCATGAATCAGTATTCTGACAGGGAGGCAGTCATGTCACTTCATCTATAAACAAACACACACACACATACTTGCACACAGACACACATATTCCAAGCACATACATCTCACCTAAAAGAGCAATTGCTTCCTTTTGAATGTCAAAGCCTGCTTGAGAAAACTGGCTATTTCCTCACCTGGGCCACTTCTAGCTTGCCCTTGTGGACTGCCACTGATGCCTCCAAGCCTTCTCCTACAGAGCCAAGGCAGAGTTCAGTGTGGGTTCCCCTCGTCATGGGAATATGCTTCCCTCTCCCCATGGAACGGGGAAATACCTAATGGGCTGGGAACACTGGTCAGGGAGACTGATAAATGGGCAGTGCTGAATCCTGCCTGGGCTAGCTGAAACACTGTGGAATACGTGATATGAAATACTGTCCTTAAAGGGCAGTCATACAGGTCATTAAAATCACATTATGCTCAAACACCAAATGGAAGCCACCAACACCGTTGCTGTTAATAAAAGCAGTTCATAAGTTGAAAAGAGAGCTGTCAGAGCAGAGAAGAATTGAGAAGAGTGAAAACTGTGAGGGTGACAGGGGTCAGCACAAAAAGCTTCAATGATGAAAACAGCATTCACTTTGTTTAAAAAAACAAAATTCATATTATGCACATAATTCATTCCTTGTTTATTCACATTACTAGAGAAATTAAAACTTTAAGGTCATATTCTCTCAGCTGCAGCTCACATTCCCATGGATAAACATGCTGTGCCATCACCTTAGAGACAAGGAAAGGAAATATTAACTAGTTGCAAACGCTAAAGATGCAGCAACATTACAAAATGGACACATTAAAGCCCTAGTTGTTTGTCTGCCATCCCTCAACTCAGTCCTCAGCAATTAAAATAAGGTTCTTATAGTATGCCAGTTGTACAGCCAAAAGCCACAAATGCCTCTTTTGCACAGAAAGTTTATGATAAATTCTAAACAATAATTAAAAAAAAGTCTATCTATCTCCAGGAAGAATTTGTAAAATTAGTTTATCTTCTTCAAATGTTCTAGCACATGAGTATAAAGCCTTGCAGCTAAACTTCATTACTTTTTTTAAAATTTGTTTTCTATATATTTTTTACAATATTCTAAAACATCTAGCCTGACATACCATCACTTGTTTTAAGAGATTGCAAGTAATAGTGAGCCAAATGTATTTGATTAGGTTCAGGCAATTAATGCTACTTGTGGAATTTTTCCAAAACTAAGTCCACGTTTCTCGATCCGAAAGAATGAGAACTTATCCCACCAGTTAAGCAAAATCTCACGCTAAATCATTTATTCCACTTTATCGGTAGGACATATTAAACAGCTTGAAAAAAAATCCAGTTTCACCATCTGCTTCCGGATATTTTTATTCACAGATGGTTTACTTTCTAAGACTAACCTGGCCTTGCCTCTTTTGTGAAGCATTCTTGATCTGACAGTCCACAGTTTCCGGTCTGTAAGCACTTTCATCCTTACATTTAGCCTCCCTTTCCTCATCACCAGCCAAGTGTCCTCCTGCATGTCCAGAGGATTCTGATCCAGACAACATCGTATCACAAGCTGAAGGCAGTGGGAACTGAATGGCTTGTATGGGCCAAAGGTGTGTAAAAGAAAGATAAGGAACCAGAAACCAAGGAAAGATTTCCCCATCCAGTTCTTAAGTTTTTTATACAGTTTTGGTACAGAGACTGGCATCTGTGTCCATAATAATCATTTATTTGAAAATAAAGAAATAAATGATGAGAAACCTTATTTACATTGGAGATGGGGAAAACATCACCAACACTTAAGTCGCAAAGGGCACTTACGAACCTCCTACTACCTGAAGTCAGGTTGTGTACCACAAACGTTCCCCTTCTTCTTTTCTTGTCTTCACTTTAATTGTTTGCTTTATAAATCCTTTCTCATGGAAAAATTAGGAACTTGCTCACTTGAAATAACTTTCCTTACTTGAATTTGCTAATTGAAGAAAATTTATCATCAGTATCTGCTGGAACACTGTCACTCTTATGCTGAGTTAATTCATAATTTCCTGTTTTTGTAGCTGAAAATTATGAGTGATTCCTTCCTCACTAATTAGCAGCATTCTGAAGATTATGGACATAGCACTGGAAACAATCAAGATGCCTCTTTGCTTCGCTGTATAAGAGTGGTACTGCCTCTTCTGCCTGAATAATAATTCTTTTTCTAAAAAAACTCTGAAAAGGGAATATGAGAACTTAACTCTTTTTCCTTCTCTCTCTTTCTCTTCCAGTGTGCAGTGAGCAGATCTGAGAATGCTTCAGCTTTCTTCCTTTGCTCTTTCCATTTGCAGATTCCATTTATACACACATCAATACATGACAGTAAAAGCTATATACTTTGTAAACAACAGTTTAAGAAAGCATCTAGTAAAACCTAGTGGGCTGAAAATATTCAGTGCCTTGCTTACATGGCCTCAACAATTATAATAGAAAAAACAGCTTGAAAATAGCATTTGGTATTTGGGGCAATCAAAATGAGAAGTTTAAGAATATTTTGTATCATCTGTAATAATTTTCCTTTAGTGTTGAAAATAACACATAAAATATGGGAGACAGTGAAAAAAAGTCCTAAGAACTGTTATTTTTTCCTGTAACAGTAGTATATTATCAATTTTCTGAGATGATTTAAAAAAACAGCAGATATTTTTTCTTTAAAATGATGCTTCAAAACACATAACAATCTCGTCATCATCATCTTTAACACAGTAGTGAAAGAGGAAGACAGTCTGCGGTAACATGCTCAAGGATAATTGACACTACAGATACTACTTCTGCCCTGAATGCAATTAATAATTTAAGAGTCAACAAAGTAGAAGAGTAGAAAAAAGGAGAAGAAACGTTTCCAGCTCTGTTGAGGCTGTATCAAAATTAAAGCAGTGTTGTCAAAGAAAGAACATGAAAAAGTACTACCTTCTGAAAAGCACAGCTGTACCACTTGCCACTCACAAAATAGTGCTGGGGATGTGTTTCTCCCACTGATCTCTTCTTATGCTACACTGAGCAAGCCACCTCATTTCTCTGCTTCCATTTGTTTCTCAGTAAACTGGGGATACTATTACTTGAAAGCCTCATAAACTAGACAGGAAGTGGAGTGTCTGAAGTACATCCTGATTCATATATGAATTTAGTTATGCAATATTAATTGATTTATTATTAATAATTTATATTGCACTGATTCCTAAGATCACCATCTAAAATCAGAATCCTGTTGTTCTACGCACTTCACACAGTAATAAAGGGAGGTAGAGCTCAGAGCTAAAAAAGTCAAAACAGAGTGCAAGCAGAAACACAAATATGCCAAGGTAGAGAAAGGGAATGTAATGCTTCACAGGCAGCAGCAAAACGGATATGATAACTCAGTCTCCTTCTACCTCCACTGATGCTCTGTTATAAAAATATTATCTTGTCACCTGATTTCTCTGCTAACAGCTAAAACCTCTTTCAAGCCACAAATCTGTCCCGCCAAACCTCTGTTGGGTCTATCTCAGTTCTCGTGGTTTCTTTTGACTGTACCTGGCTTTCTGCTCGCTGATGTCTGTGTATCTGGCAGCTGTTGGTTGTTACATTTACCCTCCTGCCCCTAGCTGTCACCCGGTCACATCCATCCACACAGTCTGCTTCTAAATGGCTCTGGTCTATCCTGTGGTTTGGTCGTGGTTCCTATTAGCTCAGCTATCTTGTGCCAAAAAAGATCTTAAGTTAGTCAAAGGCCCAAGGTGACAGTTCTCAGGGACTTCCAGTATGATCCTTCTCCATTGTAACATTTTTGTGCTGCACGCACATAAGTATTGATAATGCACTGTTTCTCATTTGCTGTTTCAACACAGCTCTGCATAGCCAGCGCTCAGTCTACAATGGGAATCCCACTGGTAGCAGCTAATGTTTCACATAGATACCTCAGGCACAGTGTAGTCCCACATTATGTTAATAACCATTAATCATTCGAATCCAGGGCTAATTCCACAATTTTTGTGCCATTTTGCATGCTGTACAGCAGGGTAATTACTACACGCAGAGCACAAGAATGGCCTTATTTAGTTTTCAATGGTTTTCTTTACTGCATCTTAAAGTACAGATTTATTATAAGCGTATGCAATTAGCCTGCTGTAAGCACTCACTCCAGTATTTCCGAGCAAATTTTGGATAATGACATATAAAAATACCTCATAATTAATAGTGGGATAACTGTACTTCATACGAGTTCTAGCATGTTATGCACACTCAGAGAAATCCATTCCTGATATAACTCCACTGGTGCTGATGTATGCCCAATTTACAGACAGTAGCACTGAAGTGAATTTTGGCTGGATGAATTTTACTATATATACTTGGGTATATGTATTTAGAGAACTCTTTGGAGTGAAATGCGCATGACTTAATATAGAGTGAAATCATGTGAAATGGAAGTAAGTTCTCTATTAAGGCATTCTAAAATAATTTGCAAGCATAAATATTCTATAACAATTTACTATACCATTAAAATATCATAAAAACTGCAAAAAAAAAAAAAAAAAGCTAAGCTGTAACAGCAAGAGAGAGGCAGCCCATCAAAAAGCCTTTTACCTAAGGGAACACACAAAAGAAATATCTGCTGGTAAGCATGGCTTTTCTGCATTTCAACCACTTTTTAAAATTTCTTTGCAACTATACAAAAAATACCTGCCTGTAGGAATCTACTCATAGGCTGTGCTAGGGATGGATACGTGATGAGAAAGTGGTACATTAAAACTCAACAAAAACTACACATCACTGGTTGCACCAGAGTAAAAAGATTCAGGTATACGATATTTGCATTTGATGCAGGCGAAAGTGGTTAAATGAACCTGGGATATGTTTTGCCTACCTGAGCAATGCTGTTCAGGACTGCATTGTCCTGAAAATAACCTGCAATCTGGATCACCACGGAATCTCGTACATCTTCTATATGTGTTAGTCCAGGTTCCATAGTGCCTGTGTCAGAGGAGAATATCCTCTTGCAATTGCAAGCACTAAATGGATCCCATATGCCTTTGTAGCAACAAGGTAGGCCTAGCATGGGTCCCAGAAACAGGCACCGTACGTGGCTCACTGGTTCATTAAGCAATTATTTATTTTCAATGCCTCAGGCAAAAAGCAATCTGTTTTTTCACCTGTTAGCTTGTGTCTCCTGACAAGCAGAACTCAGCTGCTTTGAAAAATCCATGCTGAAGCAGATTGTCACTGAACTGCAGAGCCTGTACAAATTCAGCCAGCTGAGTACTTCAGTTCAATGGTCCTTCTGTCTTGCTTCTAACAACTGTGAGTACAGGGTCTACCGGACAATTTTCATCAATGGTAAGAAGTTTATCTCCATTCACATACAATCTCTGTATAACACTGACTCAGCAAGTCCAATATAGCCCGAGTTTGTTTAGATTGTATGCTTAATATAACCTGAAGACACTGGACATCCATTAGGAACCTCACACTCCAGAGTATTCATACCACGTACTTTTGGCTGACATGGGTGCCTTTTATTGCCCCCTAGATAGGGCCTTTCTCGATTATATATGGAGAATTATATAGCTATATAGGGCACAAAGGTTCTTAGCTTAAGTGATCTGAATGTAACATTGTAAGGTAACATTCCTGGCCCCTCATCTGGTGAATCGCTTATTAGGCACACCCAAACTCTGAAGTGCAACAGAAAGACAATAAATAGGCTACAAAGGAGGGGAGGGATCGGATCTTTTCGTTTGAAAAAAGTGAAGAGGAAGTGCCTAATGCTCATGACCTTGTTCTTATACATGACCTTTTAAAAAAAATTATTTTAGTGAGTTTCAGCACACACAGATAATGCCATAAAATGTGACAAAAATTCAAAAAGCAGCTTCAGAAGCCAGATTCAAAAACACTATGAACATTTTTGTAAAGACTGAACCTTAAAAAAAAATGTCTATGGAAAAATTATTGCTAACAACATATCTGAAAATCTCAGTGGAAGCCCACCACTCTGAGGTACAAACTTGTGGTCACCAAGAAGGAAGGAAGGAAGGAAGTGACACAAAGTCCAACTGGAGACCAGTCACTAGCAACGTGCCCCAGGAGCAAAGAGGAACCCCCTGAAGCTCAACACAGGCAAGTGCCAAGCCCTGAATGTAGAAAAGAATAACCCCATGCACCAGTACAGGCTGGGGGTTGACCTGCTGGAAAGCAGCTCTGTAGAGAAGGACCTGGACGTCCTGGTGGTCAGGAAGTTGACCATGAGCCAGCAATGTGCCCTTGTGGCCAAGAAGGTATCCTGGGCTGCATCAGGGAGTGTTTTGCCAGCAGGTGGAAGGAGGTGGGCCTCTACTCAGCCCTGCTGAGGCCTCACCTGGAGTGCTGTGTCCACTTCTGAGACCAGTACAAGAGAGACTTGCTGGAGCAAGTCCTGTGGAGGACCGTGAAGATGATGAAGGGACTGGCGCACCTCTTATATGAGGAGAGGTTTAGAGAGCTGGGACTGTTTAGCCCGGAGAAGAGAAGGCCTAGGAGAATGTGTATACATATCTGAAGGGAGGGTGTA